TAACGCCTGCAATGAGGCTCACAACTCCTACTTCCACAATACGTGGTCCCTTCCCAATGCTACTGCCTTCATCCAGCCAGTCACAGGAAGCCACGTGTCGGATGCATTGCTTAACTTCGAGCATCTACTTTTCCCTTTTCCCTCTCTCACGCCTCCTTTTCATTTTATTCTCCATCCCTATTTTTTTATTTTTTTGTTAATTCTATTCTCTTTGATCCCCTCTCCGATAACTGCATTTGGAGGTAGTTATCTATTTATGTAGTTATCACCTTTGATTTCTTTGTTTCTTAGCATCAATCATAACTTAGCATTGCATGCGTCTCTAGTTGTTGCTCTTTACTCAGGATAGTTCTGGATTATGGGGTTTTTTTGAATTTGTTAGGGTTTGTTTCTGTCCCAAGGTAGTTTCAATTTTATGATCATTATCTTTATGGGAATTTGAATCTATTGTGTTTGATTACCAGTGATGATAGTACAATAATGCGGAAATATTTTATTCTTAAGAGGCCTGTTGCAATGGCAGCAATTTTTTTTGATCTCTTTGGGAGATTTAGTTCAGTTTTCTCTGAAAAATCATGGAAAAAGTATTGATTTCAGAATTTTATGTTCTTGATGTAATTATATGGCAGTCGCATTCTTTAATTACATGGTTGGTTCTGAGATCAGTGATGTTTCACGGGTTTTGTTGGTTCTCACATGATTACAGCAAAAATTTAGATTCAAAATTCTCAATTTATCAGTCATGAACTGTATGTTTGATTGCTTCTCATGATGATCACATGTGTATAGTTATGCAGGTGGTGATTGAGGAACAAGAGAGTTTGGACATGCATTGTTCTACCCGTTGGGAGTAAGAGATGAATATCTTTGCTCTTTTAACGTCTGCGGGCATAAACATAGGCATCTGTGCTCTGCTGTTGTCACTGTATTCTGTCTTGAGAAAGCAGCCGGGCAATGTTAGTGTGTACTTTGGCAGAAGACTCGCTGAACAACAAAATAGGTCTTTAGATTCATTCAGTTTGGAGAGATTTGTGCCCTCGCCTGGTTGGATAGTCAAGGCTTGGAAAACTTCGGATGAGGAAATACTGGCTTCTGCTGGTTTGGATGCTGTGGCCTTTGTCAGGATGCTTGTTTTCAGGTGATGCGATCATCAAACATGTGTAACTTATACTTTTATCCTTAAAAAAACGTGCAACTTATATTTTAAAGTTCACGGTTTGTGTTGTCTTAGTTGAAATGCTATCTTTTTACCTTCTTTGTAACATGATTTATGCAGCTTATCTCATTTTATAGAAGTTATGTTTTCATTTATTTCTATTTCTGGTGTTGGATAGACGATGTCCTTTTCTTTCCATGAACTTGTTTCTGGTTTGTTCTTATTCTAGTCAAAAACATTTGCTGATGATAAATGAAATACCCATGGGGTATGCCATCTTCAGACTGAGAGCGTCCATCCAGGATGGTTGTAGCTCCAAAGATAAATGTCGTAATGGATGTATGTTAATGCAAGATGATGTGAAATCGTTTTTTGAAACGGAACGTTGGCAGGGAGATCTCTTGAGAGTTCTTGATTTACTTTTTCGAATGATCATCTTTAACTGCCAACGTTTTTGTTAACTATTTTAAGCACTTTCATAAAATGTTCTTTAGGTAAAGGAAACTGTGACCATCTATATCTGGATTTATTAGATCACGTAACAATAGATTCATTATATTTGCTTCGAGTAATAATATAACTATATTCTAACGGAGAAGATAAGTAATTGTCATGGCTAGTTTCACTCTGGAAATTTAATGGCATGTGAAAAATGCAAGAGGGTTTGAGTTTTCAAAATTAATCGGCTATTGCTGAGTAGGTTTGTGGAACAACTTTAACAATATTCTCAAGTTGAAGATTGCCTCTTGACTGGTTGGCTCTGCAGGAAAAAAAAAAATCAATTCCTCTATTGGAGTCAACCAAAAACAATTTCTCCATTGACAATGATGCGGGAGCCAAGAGTTCCAAATTGCAAATTCGGATTCTCTTGACTGTATTGATAGTCTTGAATCTTGATTGTGCTGCTCATAAATATCTCTAGAGAAGTCTAATGAAGCCCCGTTTGAATTGTTACATAGATATTCGTGTCTAGTTTTATTTAAGACTGATTTCATGTCATTTGGAGATCTGTGCAGAAAGTTATCATCAAAATACTAACTGTGTTGGTCTTGAGAGTGGAGACCTAAACCTAGAATCAAAATCAACAATTGTATGAAAATTCAAGATAGGTCATGAGTGTGGTCTGCGTCACACCAGGGTGTGGCAGAATCTGCCATGTCTGTCATGAGTATGGTCTGCGCCACACCAGGGTGTGGCAGAGTCTGCCATGTCTGTCATGGGTGTGGTCTGCGCCACATCAAGGTGTGACAGAGTCTGCCCTGTCTGCCATGAGTGTAGTCTGCGTCACACCAGGGTGTGGCAGATTCGTTTTAGAATCCTAATCTGTTTGGAATTGTGTTTTGTTATAAATAGAAACACGTCCCTTTAGGGTTTAAGAGAGAAAAAGAGCACGAAAAAGAGGGTTTTGAGGGCTCTTTGAGGTTAGAAATCTTAGAGAGAGAGAGAGAGACCAATTGCAAGCATTGTAATCTTCTTCAAGTAATCAAAGAATTGTGTGGTGTGGCTCCCGAGAACGTAGGCACGTTGGCGAACCTCGTTAAATCTGGTGTGTTCTTTCTTGTTTACTTTCCTACAAGTTTTTATCTTTGATTTGTGGTGAATTTCTTTCTTGCTCAACTCTCAAATACAAGATCCAGAAGGGTACGGATTTGATTTGATTATTTCAAATCCCCAACAACTGGTATCAGAGCTTCGTTCAGCAATTTGTGTGAAAGTCATGACAAAGAAAAACAAATCAAAGATTGAGAAGTTTGACGGTTCAGACTTCGCTTATTGGAAGTCGCAGATGGAGGACTATCTGTACCAGAAGGACTTGTATCGTCCGTTGATGGGCAAGGAAAATGGAAAGGAGGAGTCAGATGGTGATTAGGAGATACTGGATAGGAAGGCTCTAGGGCAAATCCGTTTGTCGCTCGCCAAATCAGTAGCCCATAATATTCTAAAGGAGAAGACGACGGTGGGACTTATGGAAGCGCTCGTAAAGATGTACGAGCAACCGTCGACAGCAAACAAGGTGCATCTCGTTAAAACTCTTTTCAACCTCAAGATGGCAGAAGGACGGTCCTTCACGATGCACCTCAGCGAGTTCAACACGATTGTTGATCAGCTTATCTCCGTGGACATCACGTTTGATGACGAAGTACAAGCCCTATTGATTCTATCGCAGTTACCGGCTAGTTGGGCAGGTTGTGTAACGACAATCAGTAATTCGGCGGGGAAGGAGAAGTTAAAGCTGAGTGAGGTTGTTAGTATGATTCTATCCGAGGAGGTTAGAAGGAAATCGTCCGAATCAGAAGGTTCAGGTTCAGCTCTAAACTTCGAGCAGAGAGGCAGAAGCCAGAAGAAAGGAAACCAGAACAGGAATCAGTCGAAATCAGTGAAGAAGAGGCCAAACTCGAAGGTTAGGTCTATCAAAGGGAAATGTTGGAACTGCGGCCAGGAGGGCCATATGTCTTCGGTCTATAAAAGTCTAAAGAGGGATGCGGGTGAGCAGGAGACTCATATCGTGCAGGATGCCTTGATCCTTGCTATGGATAACGACTCGGATTCTTAGGTCATTGATTCAGGAACCTCTTTCCACGCCACTGCTAACAGGAAACTCTTTCAGAATTATGTAGCAGGGGACTTTGGAAAAGTATATTTGGGAAATAACGAGCCATGTAATATTGTTGGAAAGGGTGAAGTACAGATTCAGATGAATGGCTCTAAGTGGACCTTGAAAAACGTGAGGCACGTACCAAAACTGAAGAGGAATTTTGTTTCGGTGGGACAGCTTGGAGCAGAAGGCTATGTTTCAACATTCACAGGGGATTCATGGAGAATCTCCAACGGTACGATGATAGTTGCTCGAGGTAACAAGTTAGGAACTCTCTACCTCACCTTACATACAAGTGACACCCTCGCAATTGTAGCTGGCAAAGAGAGTATAGATCTGTGACACAACAGGCTAGGGCACATGAGCGAGAAGGGGATGAAGATTTTGCATTCATAAGGAAAGCTAACCGGGATCGACACCGTGAAAGTCAGGATTTGTGAAGACTGCATCTTTGGAAAGCAGAAGAGGGTTAGTTTTCAGAAGGGTGGAAGGCCACCTAAGGCTCAGAAGCTAGAGTTGATTCATACAGATGTATGTGGTCCAGCCAGTGTGTCTTCTTTTGGCGGTTCGAGATATTATGTCACCTTCATCGACGATCACTCGAGGAAGGTGTGGATCTACTTCATGAAGCACAAGTCAGAGGTGTTTGAATCTTCAAGAAGTGGAAGGCCATGGTGGAGAACGAGACAGATCTAAAGGTAAAATATCTGAGATCAGACAATGGTGGAGAATACGAGCTGGAGGAGTTCAAGAGGTTCTGTACTACGAATGGTATTCGCTTAGAGAGGACTATTCCAGGGACGTCGCAGCAAAACAGCATTGCGGAGAGGATGAACAGGACCTTGACAGAGCGTGCCAGGAGCATGCGATTACATGCAGGTCTGTCTAAGATATTTTGGGCGGATACGGTGCATACGACAACTTACCTTATTAATCACGGGCCATCAGTTCCATTGGATTTTGGGATTTCAGAGGAGGTTTGGAGTGGAAAGAAGATAAATCTCTCACACTTGCGGGTATTTGGTTTGTGGTTTATATTCATATCAGTGACCATGTCAGAGACAAGCTAGAAGCTAAGTCACAAAAGTACACATTCATTGGATACGGCATTGATGAGTTCGGGTATCGTCTTTGGGATGAGAAGAACAGGAAGATCATCAGAAGCAGGAACGTGATATTCAATAAGGATGTGATGTACAAGAACAAGGAAAATACCAAGGATAGTTATAGCAGTGGGAACAGCACTACGGATACACGTGGATCCGAGTACATGGATTTAGAGAAACTTCTAGATATGGGTGATGATGTTTGTTCTGATCAGAGAATTGAGAAGGCTCCAGGTGCAGAAGAAACTACCCAGGACGTGGAGCTTAGGAGGTCATCCAGGGTACCCAAACCAAATCTCATATATCTTTCATCTCTTGACTACCTATTATTGACAGATAGCGGTGAGCCGGAGTGCTATGAAGAGACAATACAAGTGAGTGAATCTCAGCAGTGGGAGCATGCTATGCAGGAGGAGATGGATTCTTTACTCACTAATGAGACATGAGAGTTAGCCCAGCTACCTACACAGAAGAAAGCCTTACATAATAAATGGGTCTACCGGGTCAAGCATGAGAGTGATGGAAGCAAGAGATTCAAGGCCAGATTAGTAGTGAAGGGGTTTCAACAGCGGGAAGGAGTGGACTACACGGAGATATTTTTTCCTGTTGTGAAACTCACAACCATCAGAGTGGTGTTGAGTTTGGTAGCTCCAGAAGACCTCTTTCTTGAGTAGTTAGATGTGAAGACTGTCTTTCTTCATGGTGACTTGAATGAAGAAATCTACATGAAGCAGCATGTTGGCTTCATTGAAGAAGGAAAGGAAGAGATGGTGTGCAAACTCAAGAATAGCTTATATGGTTTGAAACAGGCTCCGAGACAGTGGTATAAGAAGTTTGATAACTTCATGCAGAACAATGGCTACAGAAGATGCAATTCGGATCATTGCTGTTATTTCAAAAGGTTCGAGTCCAGCTTTATTATTTTGTTATTATATGTTGATGACATGTTGGTAACAGGATCATGTTTAGAGGAGATAAACAGTTTGAAGAAGCAGCTAGCAAAGGAGTTTGTAATGAAGGATCTGGGTGCAGCGAAGCAGATTCTAGGGATACGAATCAGTAGGGATAAAGCTGAAGAGACATTGAGATTGAGCCAAGCTGAATACATTGAGAAGGTACTTCAGAGGTTCAACATGCATAATGCTAAAGTTGTTAGCACACCCATTGGAAATCAATTCAAGCTATCTGAGGAGCAATTGCCTAAGACAGATGTAGATAGAGAGCATATGAGCAGGGTGTCATATTCTTCGGCCATTGGGAGTCTCATGTACGCGATGGTTTGCACGAGGCCGGACATCGCCCATGCAGTGGGAGTTGTGAGTAAATTTGTAAGCAATCCAGGGAAGCAACATTAGGAGGTCGTAAAGTGGATAATACGGTACTTGAGAGTGACAACAAACAAGCCATTATGTTTCAGGAGGAAGGAGTTGGTGCTGCAGGGATACGTGGATGCGGACTTCGTCGGTGATCATGATACGAGACGAAGCACCACGGGTATATTTATACCTTAGTGTCGACAGCAGTGAGCTGGGTCTCATGTCTGCAGAAGATTGTGACTTTATCTATAACCGAGGCTGAGTATGTCGTGGTGACTGAAGCAAGCAAGGAGATGATCTGATTGAACGGGTACTTGGAAGAGTTGGATCTGAAGCAAGGGAGAGGAGTTCTTTATTGTGATAGCCAGAACGCTATACATCTTGCCTAGAATCCAGTATATCATACCAGAACGAAGCACATCGACGTTAAATATCATTTTATACGCTCGCTAGTTGAAGACGGAAAGTTACATTTGATAAAGATTTTGGGGAGTCAAAATCCGCATTTTATACGCTCGCTAGTTGAAGACGGAAAGTTACATTTGATAAAGATTTTGGGGAGTCAAAATCCGACGGACATGTTAACGAAGACAATCACCATTAAGAAACTAGAGTTGTGCGTAACTTCAGTTGGCCTTCACGAGTAGAAGACGAAGGCGGAGCCACACTACGAGGATCGGCGAGATCGTCGGGATATTGATGATTAAAGAATGGATTTTTCAAGTAGGGGCCTGTTCGTTTGCCTAAAAAAAAGAGGGAAATCAAAGAAATGGAAAACTATTAAAATGAAGAATTGTTTTTGGAGTGTTTGGTTGGCTAAAAAAGAAGGAAATCAAAGAAATGAAATTGAAATGATGTTAGTTGTCACCTTATTATTGGATGATGTTTGTGATTTTTTAAGAAAACTAGTTTTGGAGTGTTCGGTTGGCGAAAAAAAATAAGGAAATGAATTATAAGAAACCTATTTCGTGTAGTTTCTTGTTTTCTTTTGTTCGGTTCATTCTTAAAAATAAGAAATGAAATGAGATGAGATGAGTTGTCATTGTATTATTGGGTGATGTGAAGAAAGATTAAGAAAAGTGTTTTCATAACTTTTTGGGATGAAAATGAAGAAATGAAATGTTAATGAGATGAGGTGAATTGTTATAATATTTTATTGGATGATGTAAGTGATTTGAAATGATGAGAAAAGATGAGTTGAGTGATGTTTGGATGAAAATAATATTTTATTAGATGTGATGGATGAGTTGTTAGATGAAAATAATATTTTATTAGATGTGATGGATGAGTGGTTAGATGAAAATCATATTTTATTAGATGATGTGGATGAGTTGTTGGATGGAAATAATATTTTATTGGATGTTGTGGGTGAGTTTTAGGGATGGAAATGGAGGAAATGGTGAGTTTTGAGGGAAGAGCTCATTGATGGTGGTTTGATCTTCAAGTGGGAGATTGTTGGTCTTAAGAGTGGAGACAGAAACCTAGAATCAAAATCAAGAATTGCATAAAAATTCAAGACAGGACATGGGTGTGGTCTGCGGCACACCAGGGTGTGGCAGAATCTGTCCTGTCTGCCATGGGTGTGGTCTGCGCCACACCAGGATGTGACAGAGTCTGTCATGTCTGTCATGGGTATGGTCTGCGTCACACCAGGGTGTGACAGAGTCTGTCCTGTCTGTCATGGGTGTGGTCTGCGCCACACCAGGGTGTGGCAGACTCGTTTTAGAATCCTAATCTATTTGGGATTGTGTTTTGTTATAAATAGAAACACGTCCCTTTAGGGTTTAAGAGAGAAAAAAACACGAAAAAAGAGGGTTTTGAGGGCTCTTTGAGGTTAGAAATCTTAGAGAGAGAGAGGCCAATTGCAAGCATTGTAATCTTCTTCAAGTAATCAAATAATTATGTGGTGTGGCTCCCGAGGACGTAGGCACGTTGCCGAACTTCGTTAAATCTGGTGTGTTCTTTCTTGTTTACTTTCCTATAAGTTTTTATCTTTGATTTGTGGTGAATTTCTTTCTTGCTCAACTCTCAAACACAAAATCCAGAAGGGTACAGATTTGATTTGATTATTTCAAATCCCCAACAAACTGGGGGGGTCAAATCGGGACTGCATGAAGCCTTTAACTTGCCTACGTTAGTTAATTACTTAATGTGTCTTTTTGTATCTCAATATTATCTAGGTATTTACTAGATTCATGAATCTCTCATGTCAAGCCTGTATGTAGCTTTCAAATCTAATGGAAAAATATGTGTTGTTGAGTTGATTAAAATTAAGCTTTGTGCTTTTGTCGTTGCTCTATATTCTTTGGTGGATTCCATAGAGTGTGAGTGTTATATGTATATCTAAGGTGGGATCCGTAAAGTGGTGATTCATCATATCTTTCTAGAGTGGTGATATTTGTATCTATAGATCGGTTGGCTAAACCAAGGTACCATCGTTTATTATTCTAAGGTGGTGATATTTGTATCCTTAGAGATCAGCATCCTATTCGATTATCCATTTATCCATTTCATCCATATCGTGCTGGTATCAGACAATTTAAACTTTCCACATCATAAGAACCGGCATGATACACTGTGAGATGCAATGGAAATGTAAAATTGGATTAAGAAGACGATGTTGGCCCCTCTTCTACTTAGTTCAGTTCTGTAACAAATATGCTTTGTTTCTGTTGTTGTTATCTGTAACAGAAAATATGCTCAATTTCAACATCCAACAGATGTTTCATGATAGTGATTATATAATACGAAATGATGTGAAATGGAGGAGTGATAAGTTCTGCAACCATTCATTCACGGAAAACTCCAATTCAGCAGTTCATATATTCACTGACTTTTGTTTAAGTGAACTTTTACCTGTCAAGATTTTGTGTTTGAGCACTAGTAACTTGTTTATACAACTTCAATGTCCGTTTCTCTTAATCCACTAATTGATAGATTATTTCATTAATGTATGCAAGCGCTTAGTTGTTTCCTTATATGTTGGTGTCTGAACTGATATAATACGTGTGGTTTCCCTCCTCTTGCTTTCCTGTTGTGCTTTTATTATCACTTAATATTGTGAAGATAACATGCCATTTGCATTCCTGGTAGTTTTTCTAACTCTTGATATACATATGACAGTATTCGTATCTTCTCCATTGCTGCTGTTGTTTGTTTGTTTGGAGTACTCCCACTGAATTATTACGGACAGTACAGGCATCATGTGAAAATTCCATCAGAGTCCTTGGATGTTTTTACTATTGCGAATGTCGAGCAAGGATCTCGATGGTAGCTACTGAACCATTCTGAATTCTTAATTACTTAAACAGATATATCTGATGTTGCAATCTTAAATTACCGGTTCTTAGAAACACTGGTAGATGAAAAAATTATCATATCTTTTAGGACCATTCATTTCCATTTGTATTTTACTGCATTTTATGACATTAATCTGCGGTAAATCTTTTTTGAAGGCTTTGGGTTCATTGCCTGGCATTGTATATCATATCTTGTTCAGCTTATGTTCTTCTTTACTTTGTAAGGCTTGGTTCTTCCACACTGAATATCTAAAGTTTGCTCCTTTTATGATACTGAACTTATTAAACCCTAACAGATGTTGGTATGCCTCTAGGAATACAGGAGAATTGCTCAAATGAGATTAATTCATATTACTCAATCTTCTCCAAATCCTAGCCATTTTACAGTTCTAGTGAGATCTATCCCATGGCCAGAAGAAGGATCGCTCAGTGATGTTGTACATAATTTCTTCACAAAATATCATGCATCTAGTTATTTATCCCATCAAATGATATATCGAGTTGGAAAGGTACAGAAACTCATGGTACGTGATATGTAATACCTTTTAGTTCCTTATCGTGACTTACGTTTTTCAGCTAACTGTTAGACACTGGTGTTTACTGATGCCTATCGACATTTAAAATTTTTATTTTAGAGGAAAGCATGTTTACGATCAAGCTTCAAGATTAAGCTTGCGGTTTGTCAATAGGATCTCATTTACTGTTCAATTTCTTCTCTATGTTATTGATCAAATTTCTAAAACCTGGTCATATTGAGTTCACAGATATATCTTTCCCTGATTATTGTGTACTTACGTTGAAGCATCAACTTGGTTATTTATTAACTTGTAAACGATAACATGTTGCAGGTCATGGAAATATGGGATGCATCCACTGAGTAGTAGTGAGACATGAGCGGAAAATAATGACTTATCTTTTCATTTTACCGAACCCTGTGTTTTCAGGTGTCGAAAGTGTTATTCATCTTATATTTGTCATTAGTGCTGTGTCAAATGAGAAGCTTTAGAATCCTTCTCTTGAAGATACATCATGTGTGCATGACTGTGTTTTCGGGTCACATTTCCTCTTGAAAATACAGGGTCATTTGCCATCATGTTCGCTAATGTGGATACTTCTTAAAATCTCATGTATTGCTTCATTTGTGTGCCATAACCAGGGGCGCATCCACCCTATGGGAAGTGGTGTCACGTGACACCACTTCCCATTGGTTGGAAAACATCTAAGAGGCCATAAAAAAGATAGGAACAGCTTTTGATAAAACCCAGTAGAAGATAAGTTGATAAGCAAAGAAATATAAATGAAATGTGAACTCATCATATGATCTTCAATGTTCATATTAGTACTTTTGGTTCTTAATTCAGGTAATGGGCAGCATAAAGGCAGCTAACGAACCCCCAAACTGAGTCAAATGTGGGACTATAAAAGAATCATGTTTTAAGGCATCATTATACATATTCTTGCTTATAAATTATACGCCTTCAATATTATGTATCAGTCCATATACAAGAATCATGTCCTCAAGTGCACCCCGCTTAAAGCCTTCAAGAAGTGACATTCAAACAAAACCACAATGACACATGTCCAGTAAGCCCGCGTAAACTACCTGACAATATAGTTAGTCCATATTAGTGTTATTCTTGGAATAAATTAAAATTTTCATCCTAGAGTAAGGTGTATTGTCGATATTTTCTCCCCCCAAATATGCATAGTAAGTATAGCTCCCATATGTTAAGTAACCAACTGGTTGAAGTTAATATTGCGCTTATCTACTGGATAAAGTTACTAAATTGAAGTTAATATTGCGCTTTTTTCTAGTTATCAAAACCCGTCGAGAAATGGTTGTAAATTTTTTAAATATTAAGTATATAGTGACACCACTATCTAGAAATTCTGGATCCACCACTGGCCATCACTCTACATTTCTTTTCATCTCTTCAAGCATTTATGCATTGCTACAACAACTACCTATATTGCCCCTGTAGCTGAAAGCTCATATTTGATGCATTGTGTATTGAAGAAAGAAAACAAATCACCAGTTTGTAAATTTGCTGTAAATGGGAATAAATCTGTCGATGGAAGTGTATCCACATTTGATGTGCATGCCTATATAATCTATAAGCCTATGATTTATACAAGACCTCAGCTTTTTGTGGAGGATTTATGATTTTCTTGTGATTTATAAATCAGAATTTAACAGATGACAGAAGTTATGCAAACATACAATGAATGCTCAGATAGCTAATTCTGGTGTACAGTGAGTACCTAATGCTCAAACCAGGACATTCAGGTTGCAAGAACCTGCTAGAAGATGAGTGATACATCATAGATGAATTTAGATATTATTTTCCACATTCTGTTACTGAGGAAATTTTATTCTGCTTTCAATGCATCATTTTGTATACAGCAAACATCCCATTCTTCTTTCATGTATTATCTTTATGGGGTACACCTATGTCTTATTTTCTATAACCTTTAAGTTTCTAAATATCTATAACAGGAATTAATATGCTTGTTTCGTTCACTTCTTCATGTTATGCTCTGGTTACTTAACTCCGAGCTTTGGATTTTTTTAACAGAATGACGCAGAAAAGGTGTATAAGAAAGTATGCTTGAAGGCTAACATGATGGACCAAAAACATTGTCCTCTTAAATATAGATCTGGTCTTTGTGTAGAAGCAGCCAATACATCCCAGTTATCTCATGACGAATTTGATCTCAGTGCAAAGAACAAGGACCTTGGCCTATCGGATTCAACTACCAAGCTACAGGTTATATGATTTTCCTGCTTTTCTAATATATGTCACTGTACTTGCATTGGTTTCATCTCATGGTGGTACCATATCGAAGAGTTATTTTCATGCTAGAGCCTTGTAGTTATTTGAATTAAGATAAATGAGGTGGAGTGAAAAGTGAAAACCTAGAATAACCCTTAAGCCCATTCTAGGGAAAGTTACTGGTGCAAGAAAGTGCACTGCTGTGTTATTAAAGTGCTTGATGTTAGGAAGTTGTCTTGCATCTATTCGGTTGTGTGGGGTTCGGTATGGGAAAAAGCATGGAGTGAGATTTAGTCCCATATCAGATAGAGAGTAAGATGGATAGATGGTTAAATATGCTCGGACTCATGACTCAATAAGGATTAGTCCTTTTGAGTCAATTGGGTCTAAATAGATCAGCCTAGTCCATCTCCTCAATGGGCCTTTCTAGACCATAACAAATTGGTATCAGAGACCATAGTTCGATGAGCCTTTGTTGGGTGCTCTGGTTGCTTCAAGTGCTGCATGGATTATAGCTCGATGTGGAGTGCACGTGATGTTACATTGTATCTCCGGTGTAACTTGGTCCAGCATGGGTTAAGGCTCCCTTGGTGCACATGCTATCACACTTGCAGCCGGTGTAGCTCTGTTCATCTGCAAAGCGGTTGAGACACCATGTCCGTTAGCCAATCTCGTGTTTTGGGCTCTATTTGGACTCGACTGGATCTGAGCAAAAGTGGAGATTTGTTAGGAAGTTGTCTCACATTCATTTGATTGTGTTGGGTTCAGTTTGGAAAAAGGCATGGGCTGAGATTTAGTCCCACATCGGATAGAGAGTAAGATGGATAGATGATTAAATATGCTTAGAATCATGACTCAACAATGATTAGTCCTTTTGAGTCAATTGGGTTCAAGTAGATTAGCTGAGTCCATTTTCTTAATGAGCCTTTCCAAACTAACACATTATGTGGCATCTGCTTAATATAATTTGACAAAATGATTAAAAAAGGTAAAATTTAAACTCAAAACCAACTTGTTGTGGCAAAGTCTTTTCAGTTTGCAACTCCTGTTTCTGTTATTGTTTCTTTTTCCTAAATTCACTGCTGCGTGTTTTATTCATTTCAATAAATTGTGTTAAGCTCTAATCATTCTTTCAGCTTTAAGCCAATGTAGGCATCGCTATTATTGATCCCCAGTGAATAAGGAGGGAGGGTATGCGAAACTATGCCCTCCCGAAACATACTAGAAAGAAGGAACATGTTGCCATGGGATAAAGTACTCAGGATAATACAGGTACAAATTATAAAACTGGGACATGGGTCCTTTAGGTTCTAGCTTGTCACGATACAAGCGAAAGATGTTTCTGTACAAAGTGTTAAGACGCGGTTTATTGAAACTTGTGAGATTGTGGCTTAACAAGAATGTTAGAACTAATAGATGAACTGGACCTTACAGAGTTATGGTTTTTGATCATTAAGAGAATATCTATCCTACCATTTGGCATCTAGTTCTTGTAATGAGATTTTTCTGCCAGGCATGTGTTTGGTTATCGATCTGTGATGCAGTTGGGGGAGATTTTAAGAGGAAGCTTTAAATATTTTGATGGAAGTTTTGATGACATAAGTTGAGATCCTATGGACATAGGTTCAAGATTGATCAAAGAACTTTTGAGTGAGGTCTGGAATATTGCAGGTGGAAGGTCTAAATCGAGACTAATCTTAAAATCATATAGGGGGAAAATGCCAAGATTACCAATTGTTAGTCTTTGATGGAACAAGTGATAAGAATAAACGCTGAGAAATTACTTCAGTATGTTGTGGTTATGTATGGTTAGTTAGATCTTTATGAAAACTTTAATTGCTTTTCAAGAGATTAAAGTTGTTTTCTTTGACAGGAACTCTGGTATGAATGAAAACTTGGGATGTAAAATCTTCTTAAGTGAAAGCCTAATCTTAAAATCATATAGGTGGACAATCTCAAGAACATTTTACCAATTGTAGTCTTCAATGGAGCAATGATAAGAATAAACCTTGAGAAATGACTTCTCTATGTCATGGTTATGTACTTTACTCTGTTAGGTATATTTTTATGAAAATTTTGATTGCTTTTCAAAAGAGTAAAGTCAGCTTCTCTAACTGGAACTCTACAACCTTTGGATGTAAAATCTTCTTGCTTCAGACCGTAATCCAATTCTATTTTCCTTTTTCTTTCAGAATCTGATTGATTTGATACCTAATCATCTCCTTAACGTGAATGTTGTTATATTCTATCACTACTGCGATAAACCCAAGCACAAAACTTCAAAATCAGACATTAAATCTGAAGATTATTACATTTAAATCATCCTCCATAACATACAGAAACTAGATCTGTCCGTGGATCTGAAACCCGTGCCAACCTACATCCATTCCTACCGAATTTGTTCATATTAATGTATGTTTGCATGCATATCTGTTTACAAACCATGAAATAGTGATGAAGCGATTGTTTTGCTAGACTTTCTATCAGAAGCTGGCATATAACACTCATTTTTATGCATGTCCATTGAAGACATACATGTTGTCCAAGACCGTAAGAAAATATGGACATTTGTCAACATTTTTGTCAGGTTGACATGCTGAATGCTGAATTTTAGAAGTATAGTTTTTTTTATAATGAAGCCCTTGAGAATTGAACCCAAGATCGTGGGAGCCATAATGGAACCTCCCAACTATCTAGGTCACCCGCGGTGCTCTTTTGAGAAGTATAGTTGTTACAAGCAAAATTGACCCACGTGACGCAACAACATTTGCTTGAAAAAACCAAACAATTATTTTAGTATTTGAGTTAAAAATACATCATATACATCCAATCATTTAAGAAAAACTATAACAAGTAATAACAAAATGTAACAATTTACATCATATATCAAGTTGTCGAAATACAAAGTTAGTTAAAAATGACATTGTTAGGTATTTGAGTCTAAGAGTCATTTTAGAAGTGAGTGCACTGAGTGGGATATAAAGTAAATAGGTGTAAGACTTTTGGTTTATGAACACAACCATTTTTGGAGGTGGATGATTATAAAATTAAATAGGGATAAACTTTTATGTTTATATGTTAAAAATCCGTCCATGATACCATGACGTAAGTGTGAGAAGGAAGCCAAACAAATGGTATAAGAATTTGGTTCAAAATGTACGCCACACACATAACAACTTAAAGGAAAACATGAAAGTATAATATAATAACTTTAACGGTATACCAAATGTTGAAATACAAAGTTGGTATAAAAGTACGCAGGTAAAAATTTGTGTTATTGGCAAAAATTCTTTTTTGAAGTGTGTGAGTTTCACAATAATTGGGGGCACAACTTTGGATTCATACGCAAAATACTATCTACAAATAATGATGCCCCGACATTAGTGTGAAAAAAATAGAAAAAATAATTTAAATATTTAGTTTGAAAACACATTATATACCTAACCACTTAGTTTGCAAGTTATAACAAAATATTGTAACTCACAATACATATTAAACTACTATACAAACTGGAATTAAAAATAATTTAAGGGGGGTAAAAGCTTGGGTTTATAGGCAAAAAAAACTTTTTGGAAGTAAATTGATTTTAAAAAATTAGAGTAAAAAATTTGATGAAGTATATTGAGTCTAAGAGTAACTTTAGACATTGGCGAATTTAAGAGAAGATGAGGGTGAGCTTTGGGTTTATAAGAAAAATAGGTGAATTTAAACTACTATACAAACTGGAATTAAAAATAATTTAAGGGGGGTAAAAGCTTGGGTTTATAGGCAAACAACTTTTTGGAAGTAAATTGATTTTAAAAAATTGGAGTAAAAAATTTGATGAAGTATATTGAGTCTAAGAGTAACTTTAGACATTGGCGGATTTAAGAGAAGATGAGGGTGAGCTTTGGGTTTATAAGAAAAATAGGTGAATTTAAACATAATGGCTATAAAACTTTGGGTTTATAGGCAAAAAAAAACCTTTGTATCATGCCTCATAATAATAATATTATTATTATATTAAACTCATGGAGTATTTCTGTGCTAAAGAGGGAAAATGTGTATTTCTGAAAGTTGATGAGCTTAAAAACAAATTGGTTTGGAAGTTGGGTTTATACGCAAAATGCCCTTTATTGAGATATATGGTAAACTATTAGATGATGTAGTTTGCATAGGCCTATCTAGCTCTGCTGGTAGGATCTCAAAAAATTAAATTGTCAAAGACAAGATTCACTAACTGTATGAGCTACTCTGAAACATCATTACATAACAAACTTTCAAAATCATATTTTAATTTAAAATATAGTACTTACAATAGCATTCTTCTCGTTTTCATTTCTTGAAACCACTTCATGACACCTTCCTCATCAAATGTTGCAAAATATATCCTTTTCAATATAAGGTACAAAAGCAATCATCACATATTCATCTCCTATTCGTGTTTTAAATGTCATTCTTAATAGCTTTTATCGTTAAAAATGCTCTTTTAACACTTGCCGTTGCAAATGACAAGATTAGTGCCAACTTCACTAACTTGAACACCAAAGGATAGATAAGTATCCATCTTCCATTCAAACAAGTCTTTATTAAACGGGTTAATTATGGATAGGCGCCATGTAGTATACCCCAATTGCGGTAGATCCCTATAGTTATAATTCCGCGGATATACAGTGATTTTTTTGACATTTAAAAGAGTCAAAAAGTTTTATAGAGACAAATAGACTTGTAGTTCTATTGGTGCGGATAGACGTCCCAATTACTAATTTTCTTAATACTTAAATGTGTTAAAAATCATTCAAGGGTTCTATGCTTACTTAGGAAAATACTACAAGGGGTGTATCTGCATAATTAGAACTATAGGGGCCCTTTTTGCAATTGGGCGATACTACAAGGGGTTTATTAGCAATTAACTCTTATTAAATCTTAAAGTTGCATATTTGCATCACTATTGACAATCGCAGAGAGCTAGAGAGGAAACTCTAATTGCAAGAGTTTCCTTAAGTTACACATTTATTGTTTATACTCCCTCAAAAATAATTATTAGCTACCACTAGTACCAGCTTCTTTTACATATT